TAAACCTGGTTTTATTTCTAATTCTAATTTTTTCTAAAGTTTTATTAGCCGTAGAAAGTCAGACCAGGAGCCAGACTAGGGTCATTTTTTTTGCACCATGTACATACAATTTCACAAAAACTGCCCCCTTTTCCCCTCTACTGGTCACACTACAAACTACTAAACCATTGTCTTTGCAGCATCACTCGGTACAATGAGCCTTCACGTCAGTCGGAGCACGGAGCAAAGCAGTCGTCAATAGTTAAAGCACCCAACGGGTAACCTCCCCATGAAGAAGGAAACACCCCCAAAACAAACACACACTCAAAGAGACACACACTCTCCTTTAATGACATCCTTTCTGCGGCACATTAGCTATTGTGCGGTAATTAATGAAAGAGTCACGGCGCTCAAAAAGCCAGTGTTCTCTGCAGACTCGGAGCTGTATACTCCAACAATGGCTTAATGAGTAAACACACTGCGCCTCTCATGAATAAATTATTCGTGCACGGCAATTAATTTTCCCTATTGAAGATTGAAAAATAAGGGTTGAAAAAAAAAACTGTTACTAGTCTTAATAAATCAAAAGAGGGAGGGGGCGAGCTGATACAACCTTGACAGCGACTGTGTGTTTGTGCTGAAGTGTTTATTTGTGCGGCTTTGTGTGTGTGTGAGGATTTGATAAATATGTGTTTTCCCACGTGGGCTGCCGCATGATGTAACATTAATTTTTGTCAAGGGCGGCTCTTCATCCCAGAGTTTCTCTCCTGGTGATTCTGTGTTTCACTCTGATTCCTAATTGTTTCACCGCGTTGTTGGTGCAGGGAAGATCAGTTCACATTTATTTGTGTATTTGTACAGGACGGGAATAACTTACTGAAAGGAGTTTCCACGTAATTGGCCGAACTTGTCTTGGGATTCCGGACCAGCTCAGTTTTCGTAGTTCCTCTGTAAACCACAAGGGGGAAAAGGGTTATTATTATATATGATAACATGTAATATTATTAGCTGCTGAAAAAAAAAAATCACAATAACTCAGATTTTTTTTTCAATTGCAAATAATTTGTCCATGCAATGCTGACAGGCAGAACAATTACATACTCTTCCACTAGGTGGCAGCATGTGGCTATAAGTTGTTTGTTTTTTTTAAATACCTGAGATTCAAATCTGTTGAGGATTTCAGTGACTTTCTTCAATTCCTGCAAGTATATCAGCTATGTGTTCATCTAAACAGGCCCAGGTTTTACACCAAGTAAGTCAATTGTGAGCACATTAAAAGCAAACAGGCCCAGGTTTTACACTAAGTAAGTCAATTGTGAGTACATTTAAAGTAGCAGATTGTTATATTTCATTTTATATACCTTTTTGGGACTTTATATTTGGTAGATCTAAGACTTTTCTAATGTAAAATATGTGCCATATTCCAAAAAAATTCACAGGTTGAAAAAGTATATATTAGAGAAAAAAGAAACATATGACTCTCATTTGAGTTCTTAGTGATCTGTGACCTCATAAGAAAAACAGATTTAACCAATTTCCTGTTGTAAAAAAAAAATCAATTTCACTGACAGCTTATTATAGCAATAAAATATAATAATGGACTGGGAGTACTTGAAGAGTCAAGTCAATTGTTTAGCCCGTCAACTGGTTATCCAACCATATCCTCACTATCTCAACCATCCATCCATCTGTCTGTCTGTCTCTCTTGACTGAAATTACATGAACAAAAATGGATTATTGACTGTGTTCTCCACGAGCCAGGCGACCCAGCCACTGGGCTGTAATGTCAAATAAATCTGATGGAGGGGTGAAAATTGGAGTTTTAAATTGACAGGCACTGGTCTCCTTTGGGTTGATGAAGACCCAAAAAAAAAAGAGACCCGACTGAAAGCTAGGTGCTTTAGATTCCATCTTC